GGTTTCTTGAAATAATAGTTAACACTCAACTTGCATTCTGTCAGGCACTTTTGTAAGCACTTCAACTTCTATGGTCCTTGGAATAAGCCTATGAATAGATACTGTCATTTTTTCCTCATTTACTAGATGGTTACCCATGTATTGCTTACAGAAACACTATGAGTTTCCATGGATGAAAAGACTAAGGAAGGCACCAGGAGTTTAGTCACATGCCCAAGGTCACATGGCCAGAGAGTGGCAGAGCCAAGACCACCTTGTAGCCGTCTCACTGTAGAGCATGTGGCCCTAACCACTGTGCTCTGCATCCTGTCTGTGCTACAAATGCTGGCTATTCACCTCTTGCCAGGAGGTCACAACTGGAAGGAACTTCAGGTTCATATGGTTTTACCCCTTCATTTATAGTAGAGGACCAAAAAAGGAATTGCCCAGAGTCACATAGCTTGTGACAGACAGACCCAGGCCTCCTGCTCCTCACCCCAGGGTATTTTCCCTATTATAGAGAACTTTCCTGAGTGACCAACTAAGACTTTGGGTTCCAAAATGTCAGGTGGAACAGAGCTTAGTGATTCTTTTTTCCTGTCACCTTATTCTACAGGGGGGGAGACTGAGGCCCAGACCTGTGTAGGACATGTCCTACATGTCCATTCAGGACATCATGTTCAACTACAGGCTTTCTTGAGGAGGATGGAGTGGCTTTACAATGACAGAGCCAGAGTTGGGAAGCAGCAGGGGAACTTTTCTCACCACTAGGGCACAAACACACATGCACAGATCCTCACGTATGAATCTGCAGACCTGACACAAATTTGCCTCTTCTGCCAGGAACTCCCACCCAGTTCACTCCATCAAAGCAGGGCTGGGATATGGGGACCACTTCTGTGAGCCTGGGGAGCCAAAGGCCTGGAGGAGGCAGCCAGAAATATCCAGGATACTCTGCCCCAGGGACTAGACAGGAAGAGTAGGAGGAGATAGAGGGGGTGGGCAGGAGTCCTCACAAATACTATCCCAGGCCCTCTGCCAGCCTCTCTTCTTCCCTGAGGCCAAACACTGGCCGAAAGCATGACAGTCCCTCTCTTGGAGGAAAGTGGACTCTGCAGTGCCCAGTCCTGATTCCGTCCTTGCTGGTGGCCCCAGGGGGTAGGGAGAAGGTGTCTGACTGTTCGCATTTCACAGATGAGGAAAAGAGAGGCCCACAGATGGCATGGGCTTTTTCTTGTTATGAAAGAAGATGTGGGACTGGATTGAACCCTGTCTGCTGCCCAGTCCCCAGCCCAGTACTAGCCTTTTCTTAGGGCAGGGAAACAAGTGCCTCCTGCCAGGCCCAAGCTAAGGAACAGGGTTGGGGAGGGGCTGATTCCTGGGGAGAGTTTCCTCCCAAATGGTCTGCTTCAGGCACCTGGTACCTGGAAGACACAACAAATAGAACCAGTGCCTGGCCCTCTCCTCAGAGGAGTGGAAGGAGAGCAACTCTTCCTGGCTGAAGCTGGCTCCCAGTGCCAGTTTTTCACAAGTGGGTTCAGTGGGTTGGGACATTGTGCACACACCTAGCACTGACCCTCAGTAGCCAAGCACTGGGGAGGGGGTCAGCGAAGGTGGGGGTTTATGGTTCCAAGGCTGGGCAGAGGACCAGCCCTCTGGCCCTGCTTCCAAGGCCCCAGTGGGGTGTTGTCTGCAGCTGGTGTGAGTTTCCTCTACCCAGACAGTGAGCATCCCTCTGGGACTTGGAGAGGATGAGGAACTATCCTGTCTATGGGCAGCCCACGGAGTTCCCAGGCTCTGCCCGACCTCACACCAACCTCCCTCTCACCACTTTGCACCCCCATACTGGGCAATGTTCAGGGTGGGAGCAAGGAAAGGGAGACTGTGTCTGTGTCAGACTCTGAGCCTTTCTAGAACACATACCCAGCTTTGTTCATCTCTCTATCCACGGTGATTGGTACACAGTGAGGGGTCTGTTAAGTGGACTCCTGGACCCTAACCTAAGTGGGAGTCTCCAGTGTGATAGAGGAGACACAACCCCTGTCCCAAAAGAGCCTCTAGTCTGATAAAGGAGACACAGCCCCTAGATGCCCCGAGCCTCATGGTGGACTCCTGGCCTTGCCACCTATGGCAGTGTTTCTGCACACAGCGTAGCGAGGAGCTTGCCTGGGTTTGAGGAAGAACACTGGACCAGGAGTCAGGATTCCTGCCTGGCTCTAATGCTGGTACTACCACTGATGTGCAAAAGCCATCCAACCTCTCCAGGCCTCAGTTCTTCGTCTATAAAGTGGAGTTTGGATCTGACATCTAAGGTTCTGTTTAGTGCTGACACCTGAATTTATCACTGAACAGCCACAGAAGGGCTTGTCATATTGTGTCTCCACAATGGAATACAGTGACACAATGGAATACAGTGACAACGTCACACAGGGCTCCCAAAAGCTTAGCTTTATGTGGAAGTGGCTCCTGGGGGGTGGATGACAAGGGTAGGACCTGGCATCTGGAAATCATCACAGGCCCCACCAATCAGACCTGTACACGCCCCACTCATTCACTTCAGAGACACCTATTGAACACCTGTTGCAAGTTCACTGCTGGGCCAGGTGCCACATTGTCTTCATTTTGAATGCCTCAGGGCTCCTCATAAGAGCCTTGAAGATTGGGGGTAGGGGATAAGGAGGGTTGGGCTACTTGCTCTTGCAGAATAATCTCTCTTGACTTTCAGTGTCCAAACTACTGGTTGCTAAACAATTGTGGCTTCTTGGTGGGTGAGAAGTATGTGCTATTCATGTCCGGGGGAGTGGAGGAAACTATCATTTTGCTTTTTTGGGCCATGGGCCAAACTCTGGGTGGGACACTTTCATATCATCTCTTCTAACCCTTAATATTACCCCTATTTTAAAGATGAGGAACTGAGCCCCAGAAGAGCAAAGTAGCTTATTCCATGGTCTGACAGTAAGTGGCTGATTCCAAAGGTCTTTCCAGTCCACAATGGGCGCTTCCAGGTGGATAAGCAGCCCAGAGGAGGAGACAGAGGTTGGGGAAAGGGACTGGTTGCAGTTGTGAGACTGGCACTGTTTTCCTCCCAAGCGTCATAAGAGGGTAAGACCTCGGGCACTTAGCAGTCAAGGCGAAGGGCCTGAGTAACCAGCTGGCAGCTAGTTTAAATCTCTGACCTAGATGAGAGTTAAGGGACATCTCTTCCTATCCTGCAAGTTATGATGGAGTCTCCTTACAACACCTCTTTAAAGTGGTCACCTCCTTGGTTGCCTTCAATGTTGGAAGGTTCACTTCCTCTAAAAAACAATCCCTTGTAACTAGGGACAGCTCAGATGGTTCACACGAAGCTCGAACCTACCTCTTTGCAGTGCCCATCTACTGGCTGGTTTTAGCCTCACACAAACAGGGCTTTAACAGAGCCCAAGTTTATACCCAGTTGGGCTTACAGAGCTCCACAGCTTACCCTCTCTCCAGGAGTTCTCTGATGTGATTGGTTCTCTCCCAATAAACCCCATTCAGAACCAGTCTGTCCTAACAAGACTGGGGCCAGCCCAGGAAGGTGGCTGGAACTTGACTGCCACTTTTTTCCCATTTGCAACTCAAAGGAAAACCCTTGGCGATTAGCTCTGTGAGTGATTCTGGCCTGAGGGTGTAATCCAAACAGATTTTTCCCAACACTTTACAGACTTAATAACACAGCTGGCTTAGCATTATCTCCTACAAATACAATTAGGCTGAGTCAGTATTCAAGTCCTATGCGGGGAAAATAATTTTCCTTCCTGGTTGAGAAGTTAGTACCATGAGGCTCTGACCCCAGACTCTGCCTGTTGATCTGGCTTTCCATGGTTTCTTTTTCATGTGGGTGGGTAGATTAACTGGGGCAAGGAGGGGGAGTTGGAGAGGGGGGCGTTGGAGGGAGAAGGGCTGCAGTAAGAGGTCTCTGAGACTTCCATATCCTACCCACCCCCACTCTAGCCATGAAGTATATTTCAAAAGAGAGGCTCCACTGGCTTCTAGAAAGTACTCAGACCTGGTGTTGTGTCACTCTCTGTTAGGCCTGAATCACATCATGGAATTTTGGATTTATTTTCCCCTTCCTTTAGTACTATAGATGGGGACACCAATGCTCAAAGAAGTGAGGTGACTTGCCCAGGGTCACCTCGTGAAGAGCTGGCACTAGATCCTAAGTGTCTGGATTTCCCTTTGCTCTGAGTCTATCATGACCAGATTTACCCTGGGTCCCCCCAAAAATGACAGGTGACCCCTCCCAGGCTTGTCCAGCAACCCTAGAATCATTATACGCAAGAGAGAATACCAGGTTTTAGAATCAAATGCCCCATTTGCACACTAGGCTTCAAACACATGCAACTCATTAGCTCGCATGAGAAAACTAATCCAGGATGGGTTAAGTTTCTTGAAGCTGGACCCATACTGACCATGAAATGTTGGTTAAGGCTCCTTCCTAGGAGCCAGGGTTCTGCCTGGGGGTTGCAGTGATCCCTGAGTCCCCATACCGAAGAGCAGGGTAATGTGGTGGGGGAAGTGTTGTGCCAGGGCTGAGCTGGTTGTAACTGTGACCTAGAGAAAGGCCAAAGCTGCGAGTTGAACCAGGAAGGCTTCTCGGAGGAGGAGGCGGGGCCAGCTTGGTAGAACAAAGGAAGGAGTGAATTTTCTTGGAGGTGGTAAGAGATTGAGCCGAGGCTCAGATAAGGCTGGAAACATCCCTTCCCTCTAGCCCCCTACCCAGGGCCACCTCTCTGGTCCTTGTCCTTCCCTGCAGGGTCCAGGGGTGCTCCGGGAGGTGACAGTGGCCGGCCCTCGAGGCGGAGCCAGCTGTGGGGTGCGCGGCCGGTCTGGAGCTCCCTCCCAGGGTGGGGAGCGGGGGTGAGCAGGCCCCGCGGGGGGCTCCAGCAGCCCTTACAAGGAGTGTTGCCGCTCTCCGGGCGGCCCCGCCCGCCGGCCTCCGCCGGCTCCTCCTCCTGGCCGGGCTGGGCCGGGCCGCGGGAACGCAGCCAGCTTGGTGCTCGACAGGCGAGGACATCGACGGGGCCGAGCCCGCGAGCGCGAGGGGATCCCGCGATTCGTTCTGCTGGGCCCCGACGGGCGGGCACGCTGCTCGGGGCTCTCCTACTGACTACCCGTGTCCCTCTTAGTAGCCTCACCATGTCCTCCGTGTTTGGGAAGCCGCGTGCGGGCAGCGGGCCGCAGAGCGCGCCACTTGAGGTCAATCTGGCCATTCTGGGACGTCGAGGGGCCGGCAAGTCCGGTGAGTTGGGGGGGGCAAAGGGAAGGGATGGGTGGGGACGTTGTGGACTTGCTTGCAGGCAGGCTCCCTCACTGGCTTTGGGGGCTTTCTGCACCCAGGTGGGTTGGGTCAGACAGTGTGATTTTCTTCTTTGCCTCAGTTTCTTTGTTGCTTGGTGCTCTCTCTACTTTGTCCTCAGCTCTTCCATCTCTCATCTGTCTTCGGTTCCTCGCCTGCTTCCCTTCTCTGTCTGTGACACTAGGTATCTCTCTCCCCTCTGCCTGTCTCCGTGTCTCCTGGTCCTCAGCCGATCTCTCCCTTGCCGTTTTGCACCTTCCATCTCCTCTCCCTGGGGCCCCCATCAGCCCTGGGGACTAGCACCAAAGGGACCTGTTAGACACTAATCCCAAACCCAGGCCCCTGTGAGCTTAGTCACAGCCTTGTTATTCCTCGGTTTAGGCCGGGGATGAAAGAAGGTGGTAGAGGTCACTGGCTGCTGGGATTTTCCAGGGAGGGGCTCACTCCAATTCCCTGGAATGGAACAAAGTGTGCATTCTTATCAAACGTATTTGTTTCAAGTCAGACCTCTCTTGACTTTCTGGAAACACGTTGGACCTAGGTCCCAGGCAGCTGGGACTTGTTCTTGATGAACCAAGATCTTCAGTTACCACTTGAGACCAGGTGGGTAGGGGGGAGGGTGTCACCACAGGCAGAGACCCAGAGAAAGGGTTCAGCCCTGCCCCGCTGCCACTTATAGTCCCAGGCAGCTGAAGGTAGGAGGGCAGAGGGGTTCCTCCTGGGGCTGTTACAGTTACAGCCATTAGTGACTATCTGACGTGGGCTGTTAGCTATGTTTCCTTCCCCAGAGTATTCTTTGAGACTCCATGGGATCCTACTCTCCATTTCTGAAACCAGCCCCCTGACTCAGAGAGGGGACTCTGAATCATGTTTTCCTACAGAAAAGATTTGCCCTCTTCCTTTTGAAAATCAAACTGTGTCTGTAGCTCTGTTATTAGTATCGTTTAGCCAGTGACTACATGTATGAAGGAATTTAAATTTTAAAGTATGTATTCCCTGGGTAGTAGTTTGCAAAATGACACTGTTCGGAATCCTGGGAAAGAATTATATGGATTTTCTTTAAAATATCACATTACTTTTTAAGAGTCCAGCATAATAATTGGCTGACCCTGGGCTTTATGTGGCTAAATTCTGAACAAAATCAGAGTCCTATTAATGAATTCCACCCGGGCAGAACCTCATTTTAAGTTTTACATTCTTCATAAGCGCAAGACAGAGCCAAGACTTGAGACATAGGGGACCAAGGACTGGAGGGTGTTTACTTGGGACGTGAGTGTTCATACTCCTCCCGGGGATCACAGACTGATCAACTCAGCTTTTACTCTTTGGCTTATAGCCAGAACCAGAATAGATGCCCCCCATTCCAGAATCTTCACGACTTGACTAGGGTGGGAGATATCTCCCTTCAGTTGAGTTTTACCAGGCTGACCCTAAGGTAACATGGGTCCTGGACCCCTCAGTTTGAGTCTCTTTTTCTTTTTAAAAAGATTTTATTTATTTATTTATTTATTTGAGAGAGAACAAGAGCAAGCATGAGCAGGGGGGAGGAGCAGAGGAAGAGGGAGATGTAGACTCCCCATTGAGCCCGACTCAGGGCTAGATCCCAGGACCCCAGGATCATGACCTGAGCTGATGGCAGATGCTTAACCAACTGAGCCACCCAGGTGTCCCCAGTTCGAGTCTTTATAAATACCCCTTAGGCTTGCCTCTCATGACTTTTCTTGCCATTAAAAAAAAAAAAAAAATGCCGGGACGCCTGGGTGGCTCAGTTGGTTGGACGACTGCTTTCGGCTCAGGTCATGATCCCGGAGTTCCGGGATCGAGTCCCGCATCGGGCTCCCAGCTCCACGGTGAGTCTGCTTCTCCCTCTGACCTTCTCCTCACTCATGCTCTCTCTCACTGCCTCTCTCTCAAATAAATAAATAACATTTAAAAAAAAAAAAATGCCAGGATGCAATTGGAGGGGCATGGTTCCTCATATTTCTAGTTTCTGCTGAGCTTCTCAAACCAAGTCCTCAGCTCCCAGACACATTCCCCCAGAGACTGAGCTGAGTGTCAGCCAGGAGTCACAGAGGCTAGATAAGGCCTCCCTAAATGAGAGGGACAACCTCCAGGGGCTAGCAGCCAGACACGGTGAGGGGAGACTGAGCCAACTTCTTTCTGCTTCCCGCAGCTCTGACTGTGAAGTTTCTGACCAGGAGGTTTATCAGCGAATATGACCCCAACTTGGGTAAGAAAACACTCCTTCCCATTCCTCCTACTGTTGTCCCACTTGGATCCCTGCAACACATGTCACTACACCGTGGTGGGCCCAGGCCTGACCAGGATCTATCATCTGGTGGCAGAGGGGAGGAGCCACCGGGATGACTCAGCCCATGGAACAACATGGTTTAAGTGCCAGAAAAACATCCTTCCATAGCCCACCCCAAGACAACTAGCTTAATTAAGAGAACTGAGAGAGGCTGATTTGCCCTAAAATATGAGGAATGGTAAGACTTAAAAAAAAAAAATAGCAGAACGTCTGTAACTATTATTATTCTTTAAAATGGTCACTCGATGTACTTTTTCAGAAAAGCTGGACAAAACACTTGAGAAATTCTGTAGTGTTACTGGCTTCTGACCCATTTTTGAACCACACAAAGAAAACTTGTCTAGTTTTATAGACATATCATGGTCTATTGGAAAAAAGGGTGCTCTGTTGTCAGTCAGAGCTAAGTTTAAACCCTAGCTCTGCCACTTACTGGCTGTGCAACCTTGAAGCAATAACCTAATCTCTCTGAGCTTCTGTTCCTCATCTGTAAAATGGGCATAAAGGTAGCTGTCTCAGAAAATTACTGTGAGGATTAAAGAAAGAACACGTGTAAAAGATTTATCCTAGTATCTGATCCACAGTAAACACTCAATCCATGTCCATTTTTCCTCCCTCTCTCTCTTTTATTTTTTTTTAAGATTTTTATTTATTTGAGAGAGAGAGAGAGAAAACCAACAAGCAGGGGGAAAGGCAGAGGGAGAAACAGACTCTCCGCTGAGCATGAAGCCTGTGGGGCTCAATCCCAGGACCCTGAGATCATGACTTGAGCCGAAATCAAGAGCCAGAGGCCCAACCAACTGAGCCACCCAGGTGCCCCTCCTTCCTCTTTCCTTAAGTTTACATTTATAACATTTGTTTATTGCAAACTGTTCCTGAGAAAAATAGTGTGTCTGGATATGCTTAACCTTTTGAAAATGGGGGTTTGCAGTCTTGGATGGTTTTTCCCATTCATAAGAATTAAATAAGGCACTTGTGGGACCCTTGAGGGCCCTTCTAGGAAATGCGGGGCAATGGGGCACAGACTGGAAACGCAGCAGTACAGACAGCACTGGCCGCAGCATGCCTCTGTGGAAGGCACTGTGACATCTGGAGGGAAGAGCCCCTGAGCCTGTTGGTGCCCTCAGTTCAGGCTGGAATATTGAATCCCAGTGTCAGAGCAGGAAGGGACCTCAGGGCTATTGAGTCTATTTGATTAGCATGGGAGTGGGACACAGGGTGTAACTGTGTGCCAGCCAGGGGAGGTTGAGAGAGGCCAGAACATGAAATCAGATGGAGTGGAGGAAGGGAAGATAGGGAGGAGGTGGAAAGGAAAGGCATACAAGCAGGGGTGTCTGGGAAGGGGGAAATGGAGATTTCCAAGGATGGTTCCTCAAAACACATATTCTACCTAGCTCAGATGGGGAATACTTATACTAAGAAGTATTAGCTGTTTCTCTGAAATTCAGATTCAATTGGTCATCCTGTATTTTCTCTGGCAGCCTGACTCTAAGTGTCTTCCTCCCTACCCCCATTCCTTACCCTTCTTTCAGGGTCCCTCCAGAAGAGCCTAGTACAGTGGTGGTTTGGGCTTCCTGATTGAGTAATTTTGGAGTTCTGACCTGAGAGCGGAATGCATGGTCACACTGTCCGGGGGTGAGAGGGGTGGGGAGCAGCTCCACAGCGGTCAGTCGCCCTGGCCTGAGAGCCTGTCAGCTGGAGAGATGATGAGAACCTCTCCTTCAGCATTCTGGGAGGCCCGTGCCATGTCTTAGGAGTTCTGCCCCACCATCTGAACATTCCAGCCACTGTCCTATGGCTGGCCACAGCAATATGGGGACCCCAGGACCGGGACCTTTCTTTCTATGGAGAAAGGTCTGAGCATCCAAGGGAAGGGTTAGCCACCAGGACATGTAAAACAGCTCCTTCTTTTTTTCTGAGGTCTTCTTTGAACCTAGAGTGAGCATGGAGACCTGCATTATTTATTCTCATTTCTAGCACGGAGTACAGTACTAGGCACAACATAGATGCTCTTAAACATGAGATTGAATTTTGGTTTTAGGATTAGCCTTTAAAGAAGAGTTCCAACTATTATCGCCATTTTACAGGTAAAGATATTGAGTCAGAGAGGGCTCAATGATTTGCCTATGGAGAACCTCGGTACAAAGGAAGATGGGTCCCACTTCAGCAGCTTTCTCATAAGGGCAGCATAATGCCCTAGACGGCCTGGAATCAGAGGTGTGTGGTACTGGGCTCTCTGAGCCTCAGTTTCCCCATCTGGAAGATGAGGCCAATAGCCTGTGCCGCATCTGAGTCAGGGTCGTGGCTGGGAGAGCTGGTCGGAGCTGAGAGAATCAGTGTCTATGGAAAGGCTATGCCTGTGCTGAGTGCTCCAGGAAGGGGCAGGGGTCCCCTGGAGAGCTTCCTCTCAGGAGCTGGGGCACCTTGCCTGGCTTGCCCAGGGCAGAATGACAGCTTCTCACCTCTCTTGCCCTCATCCTGCTCCAGCAAGGATATGGACACCATTTCCGAGGCATCATCCTACACACACTGACAAGAATGCCTTTAGTACCTTTAAAAGATTATTATTGGGTAATCAGGGGGAAAGTTTGGGAAAAGAAACTTCTCTCAGCATGGAAGTCCTTGGAATATTATTTAGAAGGAGGAGTTGTGAAGCCCATGTGGACCCCAGAATGCTCTGGAGAGCAGGACTTGGTGATGAGAGGACAAGTTACTGTAACTTGGAAAGGACCCTCCACCTCCAGTCACCTCGGTTGCTAAGGAGGAGGAAGCTGGATAAGATGATCTCCGAGGCTTCCCCCTGCTCACTCCTGCGTGTGCCACATCTGGCCTGGGAGCTTCTGCTCTTCCCCTGTACTCTGCCCAGATAGAGCTGGAGGATCAGCTGGTCCCCTGAGCAGAGGGTGAGGGGGTCCCCACAGGGAGGCAGCCCAGCCTAGAAGACCTGAGTTCACTTTCCTTCCACTGATGGGGTGCTTCATGGCAGTGGGCAAGTTCCCTCCTCCTCTGGGCTTCCTCTCTCTACAGTGGAGCTAACAGTAACCTTGAAAGGCTATTTGCTGTGAAGAACCCCAGGAGACCAACACTGGGCTAATGTTTTTCCTTGGACTGGGAAGGACACAGTGCCTGTTTTGGGGTGGGGGAGGGGGTGTGGAGCAACTAAAAGGGGGGCATTAGACAACTTTGGCAGGAAAATAAAAATCTGAACAAGATGTAGGCATCTAGGAGCAGCTCTTCTTGCACCAAATATAGTTAAACGTTTGGGGCATATTTTCCATTAGATTTTTTTTTTTTTAATCTTTGAATAAGAGCAGCTATTTATCCAAGTCCCCAAACAGGCTGGGGATGGGAGCTGTCTGTGATTCCTGCTGGCTGCTAGTGGACCTGGCGTGTGTCCAGGCCTGGCTTGACTGCCAGGGACTCTCAGAGACAAGTGGCTGTGAACTCAGCCAGGGTTCAGGTGGGGTGGAGGAAGGCGGAGAGGGCCCTAGTTCTGCCCATAGAGGTCTTCTTTGGGGTCACTTGGGGCACAGGGGCATCGAGAGAAAGGTGACAGCAAAGTGCACTCACACACATGGGCCAGTGGCATAGAGGAAGGTTAGAGATAGGGAGAATGATGGCCAATGTGACAATGAGGTCCTCTTTGCACGCCTGGCCAGTTGCACTTTCTCAGGTTTGAGATCATGAGAACCCCCCAAAAAAAGCAAAAACTCGTGAAAACCAAATAAGGTCAGTGGTTCAGTTCATAGAATGTTACCAATGTCAATTTCTGATCACTGTACTATGGTTATGTAAGGTGTTAACATTGCTGGGAGCAGAGGGAAAGGCACACAGGAACTCTCTGTACTATTTTGCAATTTCCACATAAGTCTAAAATTATTTAAAAGAAAAAAAAATCACCTAGGAATGTGAACCTGCCCTGTAAACTCAGGAGCACCACAGTCCCCACTGTCCTTGACCAGGCATTTATAGTGTGCCAGGCCCCGTGCCTAAGGGCCCATCCAGTCCTCGCACAGCCCTCTGAGGGTGCTTAGACAAGCCTGGCACAGTGCCTGGCACAGAGTAAACTCTGGAAAACTTTTAGGCAGTGTTATCATGTTACCCCCATTTTACTTTTTTTTTTTTTTTAAGAGATTTTATTTATTTGGAAGAGAGAGCTGGGGGGAGGAGCAGACGGAGAGGGACATGGAGCCCGAAGTGGGGCTCGATCCCAGGACCCTGAGATCATGACCTGAGCCGAAATCAAGAGTCAGATGCTCGACCAACTGAGCCACCCAGGTGCCCCATTGTTACCCCACTGTAAAGTGAGGAAACAGATTCTCAAAGAACTGCCATGACTTGGCCAAGTCACATAGCTAAAAGGTAGCTGAGCTTGGGTGTGACTCCACATGTCCAACATAAAATATTCGACTACACTAGAGTCCTCTGCTATTACTTGGTAAGGATTATTTGTAAACCTTCTCAGGGACTTCTGAATAGAGTCACGCACGCACACACACACCACCACCGCCACCACCACCACCATATGTCATATGCTTTTCTTTCCCATCCTTTCTCCCACTGGGGGCTTCCTGTGGGCCGTGGCCAGAGGGAAGAGGGTGGGGAGGCTTGTTGTTTGGGAGGGATGGGCTGGCAGTGCAACCGCAGAGGGTTCTGCTGCTAACCAAGCCCGTGGGCCACACACTCCGTCCTGTAGGCTTGGTGGGTGGACCTGAACGCAATGCTATCCCCTGTGGCGTGCTCTTTGACTGACCTCTCATGCTCTGAGCCCTGACAGGTAGAGCAGCATCTCCTGGCTAGGAGGTTCTGTCTGTGTCCTCCATTTGGGTGAGAGCCAAGGCCTTTCCAGTTTGTCCTAACTCAGCCAGCCCTGGAATAGATCCCCCAGGGTCTAGCACAGGGTGGCTGGGACTCAGACCCAGTCTGCGACTGAGTGGCTTGGCCTGCCCCTGACCTGGCTCGCCGTCTGTTGCAGAGGACACCTACAGCTCCGAGGAGACAGTAGACCACCAGCCTGTCCACCTGAGGGTCATGGATACTGCAGACCCGGTAAATTACCCCTGTGGATAACAGGGTATGTTAATCTCCAGGGTATGGAGAGCTGAGAGTCAGTGCGGCCTCCTGAGAAGTCCTTCTCCCAGAGCGGAGGCCTCAGATGGGAATTCATAAACTTAATCTCTAGTTTGCTATGTGACCCTGAATGAGGCACTGACCTTTCCAGGCCTGAATCTTTTCATTTGCCGAGAGAGAAGAGATGAAATGGGGTTGGGGAGACCTGTGGTTGCTGGTGTCAGCTCTGAGATCCTGTGCTCGGGGACTCGATGCTCATGCACACCTGGAGGTAGGGCACACATGTTTGCACTGTGGCCCCCTCGGCCCAGGCCCCCTCAGTACACACATTCCCTCTATGTTCTCACCACCCCCTACCAGGGCTAGATACCAATTATTCCCAGAGGCCCAGGGTCACCATCAACCTGACCCCAAACCAGCAGTGCCCAGGGACAGCTGGGTCTCTGCAGCAGCCATGCTAGAGTCTTGGCTCTGTGCCCCAGAAGCCAAGGTCCCCGAGCCTCTGGCTGGGTGGTGGGAGTGAGGCTCCCGAGACAATGCCTCCTTTCACACCAAGCCAAATCCACACTCAAGCACCCCTTTGAAGAGGGCTTGGCTGGGCAACAATATACAAAGACGGAGGGAATGGGGAGGTGGGATGGAGGAGCTCAGGTGAAGGCCTTCATCCCCAGTGAGGCTTCTCTCCTTTGCCCCAGGACACCCCCAGAAACTGTGAGCGCTACCTGAACTGGGCCCACGCCTTCCTGGTGGTGTACAGCATGGACAGCCGCCAGAGTTTTGAGGACAGCAGCAGCTACCTGGAGCTGCTTGCTCTGCACGCCAAGGAGACACAACGCAGCTCCCCAGCCCTGCTGCTGGGCAACAAGCTGGACATGGCCCAGTATAGGTGAGCATGGACCATGTGTCCTCAACTCTGGGGCTCACTGTCCTCATTTGGAAAGGCTGTGTGTTGTCATCAGGGGTACTGGGCTGCTAAGGAAAGTTATCCCCCCAACTTTAAAGTGTACAGTGTGCGTGGCCTTCCAGACAGGCCAGGGCAGGAAGAAAGAGCTTCTGGTCCACACAGGGGGTTGGACCCTAAAAGTCAAAAGAGAAGCCACTCCTTCCGTCCTCGTGGGGCTTTGTGGTGTCTCTCGGCCTCACCCTTTCTTGCCTGTCTATATGACCTTCCATCCTCATTCCCCATAGCTGGCTGGTTATTATTCGGTGCCTGGTTCCAGTTCTGAAAAGAAAGGCTGTGATTGGCTCCTAGATTCAGGGGTCTGCTCTGGTCCAACCAGCTCTCGCCTCACCCAAGCGTGGCGCCAGGCTCACTCCCACCATTGGCGGTGCTGAGGGCAGCTTTTCTTTGAATGGACTGGACTTGAACCAGAGGTCACAGACTGGGCCAGAGGACAGATTACCAGCAAACACTGCAGCATTTTGCTTGGCGAGCAGTGTTTTTAAAAGACCTGGAACTGGAATGCTTTGAGGAGGGGTATGCTCTTTGTAGCTGACCATAGGCCTTACCACTCCCCATGGCTTTCCTCCACTCTCTCCATACATTCCAGTTGTTTGCCTGGTCCCTGAAAGCATGACGCTTCCACCTGATGGGTAATCCCTGTGCCCTTCTCTACCACTGACGTTTGTCCTTTGTGACCTTCCACGCATCTTCCATCTGTCCCTCCCTGCTCATGGCCAGTCACTCCTGCTTCCCCAGACCCTAAAGGCCCACTGACTGGGATAAGGCAGGAGAGGATCTTCGGTGCAGAACAAATCAGATGGGCAGTGGGAAAGGGATGTGCAATCCCATGAAGAGAGGCCTCTAAAGGAAGCTTCAAAAGCCATCAAGCCCTCAGACCAAGACAAATTCCATCTCCGGGAATAAAGGAAGTTGTGTCATCTTAAAGCCAAAAGGTGGCTTTTGAGGAACCCTAGAACCCATGATGCCTGGAAGAGGGGTCAGAAGACTAGATGGTGGTAAATCTATCTTCAGGATGAAGGGGGACACTAGACCGCTGTTTTGATCCCAGTCTTTGCCACAGGGATTGTCCAAAGATGGTTGGGGAGCAAATAACAATGACTATGTGGCTCAGACAGAGCAGCTTCATTCCCTAAGGAGAGTCATGGCAGTTTTCCCTCTTTTCCTTCTTTGATCCAGGCTGGTGGTGGGTCAGGATTTGATGCGGTCAGTCTTGTAGCTGAGATCACTGTGCTCTCATGATTGCCATGCAGCCACATGCTAAATCGTGGGTTAGAGCAGTGGTTCCCGAGCCGCCAATAAATCGTCAGCAGGCTGTTGCACAAGAAAGGATCATGTGACATGCCCGTGTCTCCCATTCACCGACATGTATGCGTCCATGGGGTGCTAGTTTCTGGAAACCTAGGATTCAAGTCCCCGCAGTGAGAAATTTTTAGACTCAAGCTCATCATAAAAGCAAAGAATATGAGGTATTCCTTTAAAAGGGGTTCCTCAGGAAGCAGTGAGCTTACAGACAGGACACCAGCCCTGGGCGGGGAGTCCAGATGCTCTGCCCCTGGCCCTTTTTGGCCCAGTCACTCTCCCAGCTGATACTCCCCTGGGGAAGCTAGCCTGCTCCCAGCCCCCTGTTCTTGCCAAATTAGCCTTGGGCCAAAAACCTCTTCCCATCAATACCCACCAGTCTCGGGCTGTGCCACTGTCTGCAGGAATGGCCGGTGAGGCAATCAGCAGGGCAGGGTGGTCACTGAGATTCAGCCAATGGAACCTTGGCCTCAAGACCTCGGGTACCATCATCCCTTCTTTCTTCTGGACATCTGAATGACCCAAGAGCCAGTCTTTTTCCTCTCACCTCGATCCCCATGGCTTTCAGGCCAGAAACTTCCAGGACCTCCCCAGTTAAATAAATAGTCAATCCTGTCAGGAAAGACGGTTTAGGACAAAGCTGACAATAGGTGTTGTTCCCTCTCCCCTTCTTTCCCTCTTTCCCATGAAATGTCACCCTTGCTCTCCTCTGCCCCTCCCCTGGAGAAGCAGCAACACTTTCTGCATGAGTCCTGAGAGCTCTGCCAACCACAGGCATCCTGAGGCACCTCACCCTCCCTTCTCTGGGGTCTCACACCTTTCTGTCCAGATCCCTCCCTTTCTCTGGAGCTGATCCCACAGACCAGGGTGGAGGGTAGCTTATTTCCTGACCGAGGACCCATGCTGGCCTAGAGGGAGGCAGGGCTGGGGATGACCATCTTCTTCCAGCCACAAGCAGGGTTTAGCCAGTAGGCTGCTCCCTTGCCCATGCTTTGGTCCTGAATTCTGGCTTCAGTGACATCAGCCATCATTTACTGAGCCCGGACTCTGCGCCAGGTACTCCACCGGGCACACAATACAAGTGGTCTTTCTTAATTCTTTTGGCAACCATGCGAAGCAGATGTCATTATCACATTGTACTGATGAGATGTCTGCAGGTCCCCAAGCCCGTGAGTGGGGAGATGAGTATAGATGTGGGCCGGCCCAACTTGGATGTGTGCTCCTGACCCTGCCTCGCCCTGCTTCCCCCACCAGGCAGGTCACCAAGGCAGAGGGCGCAGCCTTGGCAGGCAAGTTCGGGTGCCTGTTTTTCGAGGTCTCAGCCTGTCTGGACTTTGAGCACGTGCAGCATGTCTTCCACGAGGCCGTGCGGGAGGCACGGCGGGAGCTGGAGAAGCATTCCCTGGCCCGGCCCCTTTTCATCTCTGAGGAGAGGGCCCTGCCCCACCAGGCCCCACTCACCGCCCGGCATGGGCTGGCCAGCTGTACCTTCAACACGCTTTCCACTGTCAGTCTGAAGGAGATGCCTGCTGTGGCCCAGGCCAAGCTGGTCACTGTGAAGTCATCCCGAGCCCAGAGCAAGCGCAAGGCGCCCACCCTGACCCTGTTGAAGGGCTTCAAGATCTTCTGAGGGCACCCGTCAGGATCCCAGGCTCAGCAGCTGGGCGAGGCTGCATGACAGGGGCTGGCTTCTCACCACCGCCTCTCCCTCTGTCGGAAGAATAGTCCTTGCCCTCTGGTGGACAGCTGACCCCTCTTCCAGCACCAAGTAATGTCCCGGACACCCAGTTCACTGTGTGAGCTGGAGGGACAGGCAGGAATGCTGCTCTTCCTCGCTCCAGGCTTTGGTTTCCATGGTAACCGCTGCATTTCCTGACCCCGAAGGGAAATAGACCCTGAGACAACCCAGAGACCTGGGGTCAGCCTGAAGTGGAAGGAAATTACAGTGTCCATCATGGTGCCATCACCCCTTCCTGCTCCAGCTGCAGCCAGATGTGGCCTCTAATGTGCAGTTCTGGATGGTCCGTCAGCGTTGGCCTGAGAACAGGCCGCAGGAGGAGCAACCCTGAGATCCTAGCACCACCTGGTGGACAGGAAGGGCAAAGCGGCTACAGGTTGGTGGGGGTGTGGCTTGAGCCCGGCCCTCCTGTGGTCCTCTGACTTCACAGAAGCCCCACGCAACAAACCTCGCGGTTTATCCAAGAAGAGTCTAGTTCAAATAATCCTATGCGACAGGCTATGGAACCAAAATTCCCAGGAAGGGCTACTTCCAGTACTTTGCCTTTCAGTGAGGACTGGGGGCTCTGGGGTAGGGAGCTTCCACTGTGTTTTTCCCCAGAGACAGGGCCCCCTTATTTTCCCAGCGTAAATGAAGGACTCTCTCCACAGACCTTCAGGACCAGCCTCCTGAAGTCTAATGATCAGAGCTGCAGAACAAAGTCATTCTAGTGACCGGCACCCAGGACTCCCGGGAGCCTACAACTGGGGTTATCAGACCCCCAGTTGGCACTGTCAGCCTGCCCCAGGCTTGTAGGTAGAAACACGGTACACCATCTGTAGTCTGGTCTAGCAGGACCCAGTAGCAGGACACTTCGACAGGGGGTCTGATTGTTCAAAGTCCACTTTTGAAAGATAGAAGCTAAGGCATTTGGGGTTCATACAGCAGGGGGTTTTGCATACATTATTTGGGGTCACCACCACAGCTGATAGAAAAACACTGTGGCTCAGACACTCTCTTGGGATCCCATTGTTAGTACAGGATCTATAGTTTTCTAACTCTATTTACCTTGGGGCCCCTGGCCCCAAGGAAATCTCTCCTGGACCCAGGAGATAAGCAGGTAAACGGGAGGGCTCTGCTAGGAGGAAAGGATGGGAAGGGGATTCTAAGCCTGGAACCCTGCTCTTGGCAATTCTAGGACCTTGGATTAAGAACAACAGCTCTAACCCAGACTTTAGCCCCATTCTGTGGATGGAGAAGCTGAGGTCAGAGGGAGGCTGTGAACTCCTCAAGACCACATGAGGAGTCCTAGCCAGGTTTCCAGACCCACAGGCCGGCTATGGATTTCACACTCTCGCTCCAAGCCGCTTGTGTTGGAACACCACTGTTTGAACAAACTATGCAATTCCAAATGCCCACTTCCAGAAGCATTTTAATAAAAAGCGGGTTCCCCCCCCCGTAACAGAATATTAGTTTGATTGCAGTTCATTCATCTATCTGCTGACGACATGGGGCAGGGCTCTGAAATCTCACTAGGTCTCCGATTCTTGTGGGTCTGGAAGGAGAACCAGTGACGCATCTCTCTCTTGTAACTCAATTTCCACCTGGCCTAAATTGTGATTTTCTGAGAGCAAAGTCTCTCTTAGGGTGTTCAGCTTATTGTCATCTCTGGTTTCAGCCTCAGCCACGTCTTGGACTTCTGGAGTATGTTTTTCTGGTTTGTTTTTCCCCAGGAGCTTTTGATTTCTGGGAGGAGAGAAAACTGTTGAATCTGGGTTCCCTGTGCTGGGGGTACTGGGTTGGGGGCAGGACCAGGTCTCCCAAGTGGATTAGCACTTGGGGGAGGGGAACTCCTGTAGGCAGTTCTGGGAACTGTTAGGGGAGAAAGCCACGATAGTTTGGTGTTCTTTTTGGCAGAGAAATGGCTTATTCTCGCCCGTGCATCATCTCACCAAATCCTCATTGCCACCGTGAGCTTAACTATTATCGTCCCCTGCTCCCCTTACACGTGAAATGGAGTTCAGAGAGGTCAAAGATTCACATACTTTGGATCTGATTTAAGTCTCCTGATTCTGGGTTCTGTGTTCTTCTTACCCCATCCCCACCTTTATCCACCTCAACGCTGGACAAAATATTTCAGGAAGGTCCTGACGATCTTCCTGCTTCTAGGTGCTTGCTTTTCCAAGCCAGCCCCACACACCATTGTGTTTCTAAAACCCTGGTGCGCACACATTACTCCTCAGCTCAAGCACCTTTAGTGGCTCCCCACTGCCCATGTCCTTAACCTGGCATTGAAGACCCAGCCTTTCTTCCAGTAACTCCCCCAAGTGTTATCGCTCTGAAGGTGCTTTTACTCAAAATACCCCTAGGCTTCCTGGCCATAGGGGAGGGACCCAGCTGTGGTAACAGCTGACTGCCCAGAAGACCTGCTCAGGCCACCAGGGGAGCAGCTCAGTGTTTGCTGCTCCCATGGACAGCCACTTTGTCCCTGAGTTGACCTTGCTGAGGCCGATGCTTCCTGACAGGGTAAGAAAGGCAAGATCACCTTTTGAGAAGCTACACCTCTTTGGTTCCTTTTATATCCTACATCTATACTAACCTTGATAAAATAGACCTTTCATATCCTTGTGCAAAGCCAGTCTCTGGCTCCCCAGTGTACATGAGCTAGAACCCAAATTCCTTGCAATGGCACGTAGGACCCATACATTCTGGGTCCTTCCCTCCTCTTGCCTTCCCTCCCCACATCACATTCCGCAGCCATATGGGCTGGCCCTCCTTCTCCAGCACCTCAAGCTTGGTGCCTTCTGTCCCTCAGTCTAGAAGGCCTCCTCAGCCCACTCTCCCTCTCTCTCTTTGCCCTGAAGTTCCCAGATCCCACCACTGTGCTCCCACACTATGTCCCACGCTGAGCATCCATCACTCTGAACTAGTTTCCCCACCAAACTGTAGATTCTATAAGGCTGCATTTTACTATCCCAAAGGGTGGCTAACCAAGACCCCTAGATGACCACTCCCTAGATTTCCCTTGGGAGGGCAGATCCCCCCACCCCCCAGAGACCACCCCCAGACCAGCTCCTCACCTCTTTGCCTGGATGCTCCTTCCCAGGAGGATGAAACTTATCAAGCCCACCACACCCACCAGTGCAAAGATGGAGTAATTCCAAGGAGAGTCTGGGGAAGGACACACGAAACAGAGCCTTGAGGAGAATCTGCGTGCCCCTCAGGCCCACTCAGGTTTGGGGCTTGGGCTCAGACTCAGCTCATGGCATCAGTCATCCCCTGTGGTAGGCCAGGTGCCTTAGAGACTAATGAAGATTAGCCCCTGCCCTATGGGACCTCCAGTGAGGCGGAGGGGGAGAGGGAGGGACAATTTCTGCTCTGCAGAAGCCCTAATCTAATGAGAGTGGGCGAGTAAGGGGTGGGAGTGAAACTGTGTCCCACAGCTGGCAACAGAGAATACAGAAAGTGGCTAATCTGAATTTGGATAATGAGACATGTCCACACCATACCAAAATGAGGCAGGATCCAGCCCCAGGGGTCTTGCATTGGCAAGGAATGTTCTTCCCCCACATAATCTGCGGGGCTCATCTGCAAGCCCTTATTCAAATGTCAGCTTCTTAGTGAGGTCTTCCTTGACCATGGTACCTACCCTTCTATTCCCTTTCTGTGCTTAACTTTTCTCCGTGTTGCTCATCACCCACATGCTATGCATTTTAGTCATTTGTCTTGTTTATTTTCTCTCTCACTGGAATGTGTGCTCCACAGAGGGCAGAATAACCCCACTGCTGAGAACAGTGCCCGGTGGACCGAAGGAACTTAATAAATATTTGTGAGTGATCCGATAAATGACGAAAATGAATGACCACGCTCTGAGAAGAAGAGAGAGCGGTTAGGCCTGACCCCCGTGGGAATTAAGACCCCTTGGCCTCAGTTCCCACCTTAGGGGGAAATATGCAGCCTCACTGGAGGAAGCAGCTATGTCGGGGGGGTTCAGCCAGGCCCCACCCCTGATCCCGCATCACCTACCATCTTCTACCCGGAAGAACCAAAGCATTTCTTCCAGCAGTTCCTGAGGCGCCGTGGTACTGGCTGGGGCTTGGATGACCCCCTCGCTGTGGTCCATGCCCCCTGCTCCTGGATGGGATCCGTTTCTGACAACAAAATCCTTAGGTCTCTGGGCTCCCCGGCTGCCCTCCTGGCCCCTTAATTTCCGGACTCTGAGCAAAGCCCTGAAGATCGCTGGAAACAAAGCAGAGAGCATGACCAGATAGCCCACCCCAGTTTGACCTCCATGACCGCCCAAACCCAGCTATCCTCTGGCGCACAGTTGCTGGACCAAGCTCGGGGCAGGTGGAGTCTGGAGAGGCAGAAAATGCAGGAGTCGTTCAAGTCTTTAGGAAGACTTATTACACGTGGAGAAAAGCATTGACCTGGAATTGAGGATTGAGTCACTTACAGGCTAAGGGACCCTTGAAGGGGACATTTTCTGCTTTTCCCTGTCCAGCACCCTCCGCAGCCCGATGTGCTCCGTCACCCTGGTTCCTTAGCAAATCGTCCCACCTCTCACCATTGATTTTCGTGTGGCAGCCAGTAACAGGCCCCCGTGTCCCCATCAGGGCCAGGCCTGTCAGTCTCTCCTGAACATGGGCACACCTATGACCTGGAGCTGAGAATAGGAAGATGCCAGACAGAGGTCACTGCCAGCACTTGCCACTGAGAGCCAGGCACCACGTAAGAACCTGAACTCATGCTCCTGGGATAAATCCTCTCCTTAGTTTGAGCCCGTTCCCATTCCTACCAAGCAGGTTCAGTGGTATTTCGCAAACCTCTGTCAGTCCCAAACAGCCACACATCTGGACATATTCTTGTACTGCCTGTACTATTACTACTTAACCTAAAAATTTCCACTGTCCAAATTCAAATGAGTGAAGTAGGTGCTATTAACTTCGACGACATATTTTCTTCAATCCAACATATCCCAAGTATTCTCATGTCAATGTAGTGAGTATAAAAATGGTTGAGGGGCACCTGGGTGACTCAGTTGCGTGGGCAGCTGCCTTCGGCTGGAGTCATGATCTCAGGGTTCTGGGATTGAGCCCCACGTTAGGCTCCCTGCTCAGCAGGGAGTCTGCTTCTCCCTCTGTTTCTCCTCCTGCTTGTGCTTTCTCACTTGTGTGCCCTCTCTCTCAAGTAAATAAATTAAATCTTGAAAAAATAAAAATAAAAATGGTTGAGATATTTTACCTCTTTCATACCAAGTCTTTGAAACTGGGTGTAAATTTTACACATATTACATATCTCAGTTCTGAGTAGCCACATTTCAAGGGCCCAGTAGGCTCACGGGGCTACTGTATGATACAGCCCAGGTCTGTGCCCAGGCTAGGCCCAGGCTGTGACAGCTGATTCTCCAGCTGCTCTGGGCTCCCGGCTTGAGGAGAGCAGACCATAGGGAGTGAGCCTTGGGCTAAGAGTTAAGGAGCTGGCCCTTCCTCTGGCTCTGCCTCCCGTTTAATTTGTCTAGGCAGATTACTAGGTCCTCTGAAGAACAAAAAAGGAAATAATAGGGAAAATAAGATTATCTGTTCAATGAATAATACTATCAATACTATCCCTACACATTTCCAGTAGAGGTAAGATACTTACATGCTCAAAATCAAGAAAAGACTGTTATCTAGAGTATACAAAGAATTCTTGCAAATTAACAAGAAAAAGACAGGAACCCTAATAAAAGATAAAGGATGTAAATGGCAATTTACAAAATAGGAAACCCAAAAGGCTAGTAAGCATATGAAGTAACGATCAATCTCTGGTAATCAGAAGAATAATATTAAAAGAAAAATGAGGGGCGCCTGGATGGCTCAGTAGGTTAAAGGCTCTGCCTTCAGCTCAGGTCATGATCCCAGGGTCCTGGGATCAAGCCCCACATCAGGCTCTCTGCTCAGCAGGGAGCCTTCTTCCCTTCCTTTCTCTCTGCCTGCCTCTGCCTACTTGTGATCTCTGTCAAATAAATAAATAAAATAAAAAAGAAATATGAAATAGGACTTGGCATCTATTCAATGGACTTGGTTTGGAAGGTAGATAATTCTGCATGTTGGTGGGGCTCTGGGCTATAGCCTCAGGCACTAACGGAGGGAGTGTAAACAGGCAGCCATCCTGAGAGCAAATCAGCCCAAGTAAGTATACACACCCCACAACACAGCAATTCTGCTCCTGAGAAGGTATGTATGTACGTACATGTGTATGTATGTGTATGTGTTACACACACACACACACAGAACATTGAAGGAGGGGAGCAGAGTCGGAGGACTGATGCTACCCAACTTCAAACTTCCTGTAAAGCTACAGTGAGCAAGACAGTGGAATTAAAACTAATCAGAGAAGAGTACAAATTTGCATGTGGGCTGATGTCCACAGGGGAATGTGGGGTCACAGACACATAGGCATAGGATGGGGTGAGGGATGTCTCCTGTCACCCTCTGCTCCCCAGCTATAGTTTCATAAATGCAGTGATAGGATTCCTTGTTGCTTGGTCCCCAAAGCCTTATACTTACTTTATCCTTTGGCTTTAAGTGGGTTCACCAGAGATGCCTCCCCAACTCCCCTGCAGTCAGGCAGGCCCAAGAAGTTCTGCTGGAGCCTGTACTTTGACATTGTCATGGAAACATTTCAGACCCAGGCCTGCTGGCTCTTTTGTTTGCAGACCCCCTTGGGGTCTGTGTCTCAGCTGGCTCTGGGGCACTGGGTGAGGAAGAGGAGCACAACTCAACGTTCTTCCTAGACTTCCTAAACCAAAGTTCTTTGCCATGCCTATAGCCCAGCCTTGCTGCTGGTTTTTTCCTTTCCTTTGGGTGCCTGCACTCTGTGGGAAGCAGGTTTTTCTATGTGGGAGCCACTTTTTTGGTACAGGGGCAAGTTGGAATTTTCACCCTGTTCGGTGCCTCCTTCCATATATGTTCTTTCTTCAATCCATGCGAAGTGGCTCTGGCCGCCATCATCTCCTCGATGCCAGAGGGCTGCCTCCCCAGCTCTTGAGCCCATGGGGGTAGAGCCTCTTCGGAGGGGACTCCAGTTCTCTGGCATGGCCAGAGATATGGGCGTGTGTGCTCAATGGAGGGCAGACAGGTATGAAGGGGGAGGCGGGGAGTTACCATTGTTGCCCTTTGGAGATCGGTGGGAGGGTGGACCCCAGGGCTTGGCAAGAGCCCCTTCTGGCAGATTTGGAAATTTCCAAATAAATCCTTGTTTATTGGTGGTAAAAAAAAAAATTTGTTTTAAATTGTATAATATTGTTATAATAAACATATACCAACAAAAAACCAAAAATGACGACTTGATTCCAAGTCTCGAACTGAGAGTCAGCCCTCCCTGGTTGTGTTAGATGCCACAGGAAGAGAGGACACATTTCCTTCAGAGCCCTTATCCAGGTTCCTTCTAGAGTGAGCATCGTATTAATATACCTGCTTCTAAAAAACTATTAACCTTAGGGGCGCCTGGGTGGCTCAGTGGGTTAGGCCTCTGCTTTTGGCTCAGGTCATGATCTCAGGGTCTTGGGATCGAGCCCCGCATCAGGCTCTCTGCTCAGCAGGGAGCCTGCTTCCCCCTCTCTCTCTGCCTGCCTCTCTGCCTACCTGTGATCTTTCTCTCTGTCAAATAAATAAATAAAATCTTAAAAAAAATTACTAACCCAACTTCAAGATTTATTTGGCTTTCATTTTTCCATTCATGTCCTTTTCCTATTCCAGGGTCCTACCCAGGATATCACAATGCACTGAGTCGTCATGTCTCCTTTGGCCCCTCTGGGAAATTCCTGTGTTTTACACAAGCCTTAACCATCTACTGCTGGACTGTCATTCCTGTCAAAGACCCTGAGCCACCCATCCCCATGGGAGGTGGAAGACACTCACCCTGGATCCCGCTTCTGGGTCCCGCCTTGATCTGCTGCTGGGAGCAAGCACTGGTTTCTAGGTCCTTCTCTCACAGGAGCACCAGCTGGTCTCTGCACCTGAGCGCTCCACAGAGCTGTCATCTACGGGGGCAGGGCTGCAGAGCCCATGGCCATGGGGCCCCTCTGAGAGCTCTGCCCTTAGCACACGCCCAGGCCTGGAGCCTCCTCCGTCACTCCAGGGTGAATGACCTTTTGAGTGAGCAGCCCCGGTGTGGCAAACTGGCTCCACCTGACTTCAGGATCTGAAGGAACCAGGAGCTCTGTGCTTTCCTTCGTATATGTCGACCTTGAGTTAAAAAAAAAAAAATATATATATATATATATATATATATATATATATATATATATACACACACACTCTCTCTCTCTCTCTTTCTTTTTCTCTCTCTCTCTCTTTCCAGTTCAGGGACTGGGCTGGGGAGGACCCTTGGTCTGGGGGTTTTGTTGTGGCTGGGGGTATGTAGTATGCCCACCCCAGGTCTCTATTTCCTGTTCTTATCAATATTTAACCACAGTGCAGGGAGCCAAGCCTTGCCTTTTATAGCCTGTGCTTTCTCACAGTGAAGGTCATGGCCTTGTGTAAATTCTCTATAAGGAGCTATAAAATAAGACCTTTCAAGGGCTAGGCTAGGTTGAATAGGATCGTGTTAGGGTGGGGATGACTTGGTGGGGAAGCAGAGTAAGGCCAGACTCATTAGATTCTGATTGTTATGGGGCTTTTCTGCCTCCTGGCTCCTTACATTTCCAGCAACCTTTGGAGTTGGGTCAGCAAAGAGTTCCCATTTCACAAATAAGCCAACAGGTTGAGTGAGATCAAGTGAGAAGTCCAAGTTCCTCTTTGAGTTAATACTAATTAACAGTGTGGATTACAGCATAGTGCAGAGGATAGTGCAGAGGAAAGGAGACCTCACAAGGAAACAAGGTCCTGCATGAACTCCAGCCCCTCACTGTCTTGAAACTCATTCATTCAATAAGTATTACTTCGGGGGCATCTGCGTGGCTCAGTTGGTTAGTGTCTGCCTTCAGCTCAGGTCAGGATCCCATGGTCCTGGGATTGAGTCCCGCATCAGGCTCCTTCCTCAGTGAGGAGCCTGCTTTTCCCTTTCCCACTCCCCCTGCTTGTGTATGCACACTCTCTCTGTCTCTGACAAATAAATGAATAAAATCATAAAAAAAAAAAAAAAGTAAGGGGAAGTGACAGGATATAAAGTTGGAGGATGGACGGAAGCAGATTATGCAAGGTGTTATAAAACAGGATGATTTGGGATGTAACGAGAAATCACCAGGCAGGAAGTGACGTGGTCTGACTGACATTTATTTAAGATCACTTGGCTTGCTGGTGTGGAGAATGGATTGTAAAAGAGCAAGAGAGAAGCTGGGAGACTTGGCATCCATCCAGGCAAGAGACAGTAGAAATTTGGGTCGGGATTGTGGCTGTGGAGATAATCAGAAGTGGTCTGATCCAGAGTGAGTTTGGAGGAGAAAAGCAGCTGATCGTTTTCATGAGAGAAGAACTCAACACTAATTCTCTTAAATACGAAAGGAATTCAAAAGGAATTTATTGGCTCGTATAACTGGGAAGAGCAGGGTGGAGCTGACCTTTGGGATAGCTGGAACCAAGAGCCCAAAGAACCTTAGCACTTTCTCTCTCCTGCTCTCTCCCTGCTTCTCGCTGGATATCAGGCTCATTCCCACAGGCTAGCCATCTCGAGGAACAGACCAGGCTGTAGGAAATCCAGGCTCACATCTTTACAGCTGCAAGGATAGGAGTCCCTTTCCTCTGATTCAGTTTGGCAATTCCTGGGAAAGGACTCTGTTTGTCCTGGCCTGGATCATGTACCCATGTTTTGGGTCAGTTATTATGGCCAGAAAGTGAGGTACCATGGATGGCTCAAATCTCATGCCCATGGGGTAACCATGGCTGTGAACAGGATAGCCACTC